GTTTTTCATCATAGCAATACATTCTTTGGCGATACACTGGACCAATTACTTCCAACCTGTCAAACAAACACCACGTGTCTGAATGAATATCACGAGTTCTGCCAGGACCTCTAGAACGACTAGAAACAAGCACTGTTAGTTAAGAATGAATAGTAAGCTGTTTTCCATATTTCGTCTTTACCATAAAAATGAGTCATTACATGTAAAATTTTACACTTCAGCATTTTAAAAAATCTCCCTTCTTAGCTTGCAAAATTTTGAAGGAGAGAGGCTGCGAGATCCAAAGATTTATTTATCTCTCCTCTTCATCGCCAGCAATATCTTCTCGTTCGTCTTAATCTCAAGTTTGCAAGCCTGTATCGTGATAACAGCATTACTTATCAATAGAGAACTACCGCTTTCTCAATGAGACATATTACAACAAAGTTCGGCTGTTCCAAACAGTACCTATCAATTATATCAACCTCCGAATTGCACTATCTATATTATAAATTAATAATGATTATTAATAAATAAATAAAGAGAAGTTTAGTAAAAATGCAATTAACTAATTGATTGAATAAATTAAATTACAAAATTAAGTCAAGAATAAATAATGGAGCTGGTTCCAAAGGTAAATATTTTTGTCTGATCTACGGGGACCTGGTCCTAAGGATATTGTTTTCAACGTAATTTTGAAGGGTTTTATGACCAAAAGTAAGCCGAGTAAAAGTTAGGGTTAAAGATACTCAAGATATGCAAGTCGTCCTGAAGTCTTCATAATCGAAATGTTCACGAGAAAAACAGCCAGATACGCCAGCATCCCATTGCAAAAATGTGTACTCTGTGATTTGAGCTAAAAAAATGCACAGTCATGGTGTCTCACTGTGTGCCAACAAGTAGTTTATCCGGTCCAGAGGCGTCCAGTTCAAGATCGCCTTCTTCCAGGTAACCGATTGTCCCATTCTCAGAGCTCAGCTCTTCACGCGACCTCACCGAAAGTCCGCCAGCCCCGGTGTCACGTTTGAGCAACCGATTAGTCGCCAAAGGCCGAGAACGTCCACGAGCATGCTCAACGCGAGCATCCAAGAGGGCTGCCTCAACATCATCGCGCACGGGTAAGTGGAGCGTACCGGAACTCGCGAACAAGATGACGGCGTCCAGATCGGTGATGATACCGGACACTGTGCTGGCCGCCTCCAGGTAGGACTGCGCATTCCCAATGGAAGGCTCATCACCCAGAATAGAGATCAAAGAAGAAAGCTGAAGGAAAAAAATTAAGAGGGGAATTATGGTTGGGAAATGTGTTATTGGAGATATTTAAGAGAGAAAGTGTGTACAAAATAAAAGCACTCACAAAAGGAGACTATGCATTTCCGATTGTACACTATTATTACCGGATCAGGCTTTCCCTAAGACTCAAAATAGATTTTTCAACGGCCAATTAATTCTTATTCCTCATCCATTTTCTTTTTAATAATCTATACCGAATAGACTGACCCAAAGATTGATTTGGAATGCCTTCATCGCAAGTGCATGGCGAGCATAAAAAGGCTATATGATCATAGAATAAGCAAATAAAAATATAAAAAGGATATAAAGCGATAATTACAGAAAATGGAATCAGCTGAATATCATAAGTTATGCTCAAGGATGATCAACAACTAGGAATGCAAAAGACTACTTATAAAGAGACAACGTCTTTATCAACGTGGCACTCAGGAATAAGGCAGTCTACAAGTAGCAATAGCCTAACCGTTGCTGCACAAAAAAACTGTAGCTGTCGAAGCCCAGGTAAAAGTGCCTTGCGTTTGGTGTACTTTTAACGTGCAGCAAGGCCCTTTATAATCCGATTTTGCAGCCAAGACAATTCGCTTTCGATTATTTTGTGAGGAAGCAATAAGTTTAGTCTCCAAAAACTTGGAGAAAACAAAAACTCAGCAGAATGAGGATTAAACTAAAAATGCTGATAAAAGCGAGAGGTATTTGAGTGCTTAAATTGTCCGCAATATGAAGAACATTTAGACAAAAGTGGTCATGTGAAGGAGTCGCAACAGTAAATTGATAAAAATGCTCAATTAAGGTAAGCAATATTGGGTTTTAAAAGCAGAACTTTGAGATAATACGAGGTGACAAAGAGGTCTGACCGCAGTAATAGGATTCAATCACTCACTAAATTTTAAAGCTCAATATGCAGGCTTTCTCGGAAAAAGATATTCACGGATATAGAG